GAATAATGGTTTGCGCTTTTGGAAATTTTGATCGTACTAACGATAACTATATATTTTAATTAAACTTATCATAGTTATTTGCATATCAAATAAAGAAGATCATTTGATTTTATTATTTATTAATATTATGTTTAAAACAAAATGAATTAATAGTATCAACCACGTTCTATTAACAAATTTAGTTACCTGATTAATTTTAGTAACTCGAAATTATATAAAGTATTTAAGGCTGTTTATAAAAATAAATAATTAAGATTATTACTTTACCTAAAAACAGATAATTGATTTTTATTATATACACTTTAAACAAAACCATAAAATGTATGTGATTATTTGTTGCATAATACTTTTTTTTTGTTAAATGTAATAATTAGAATAATCAGTATGTTTGTTTAAAAATCGCACTGCTTTTTAAAGATTACTCATAAAATAATATTGTTTACATTATGTGAAATTATTTAAAAACACAATACAGAAATGACTTACCTATCTGATTATAGCATATTTTTAAGTAGTTACTTGAGAGATAATCGGATAGGTTAGGTAATTATATAAAGTATTTAACTTCCGATTACAATTACAATCGATAAAAACCATGTTATGATTTTTGACTTTCGAGAATCGCGATTACGAAAAATTACATGTATTTAATATTTAGTATAATTTATAGTTTATTTTTTATACTCTAGTAGCCTCAGTAATCACAAATCAGCATTCAGTAAGCATTCGTATGCCGACAATATTAGTGGTATTCGACTGTGAGATCTACCAACGGTTTTGTACGTATTTATTCTTTATAGATCGATAACTTGCGCCCCGTGTAGCGATTTTATGCGTCCGCGATTTACAATTTATTATTGGTAATTGGTATAAAAATATGGAATATCACATTATGTTAGTTGATATTGTTGATAACCAAACTTTATTAATATATACCACGTTAAATTAATATAGGTACCAAACAGTGATGAAACTCAAATGAATTAAATTAAACTTTGTTCAAAATTTAAACTGTAAAATGAAAATAAAATAAGGTTATGGCCCGTGAAATTTATTTTTATCATTTTTGGGCCCTCGATACCAAAATGTTTGCCGACCCATGCTTTATAGTGTCGTGATTTTATTTAGTTCATTTTTTTACATAGTGGCTATGCCACTAAAAAAAAACTGTAATTTTAATGATAAACGATGAAATTAATTGCTATTCATTAAAAAACTTAAGCCTACTGACGATTTCAAGGTACAGTGTATCAAAATATCAAATATAAATTGCTATAGAACATTTTCAATGAGTCATGGTGGACGATCGGACTTAAATGATTACCTTCAAAACGCAAAAACATAAGCTGGCTTCGAGATCATCAGTTCAATCTGGTAAGGTTTCTAACAATTTTTCTGGTTCGCTTCCTACTAAAAATGATTTTTTATTAGCCACTCGCAAAGCTATTTTTGTATATTATACAGTAATTCACAATCAAAGTTCAATGCCTTATATAGGTATGGGAATTGATTCATCAATATTTAAATGACAAAAAATTCACGGGTGTAAAATCTACCTAGATTAGTATATTTTAAAAGTGTTAAATAAAACTAAGATAAATTAAATAATTAATTAATTTTGATATTTTTCCATACCTTCTGTCCTAATTAACCATCAACATGCAATATCTATTGTATATAAATATTATAAACTCTTACTCTAAACTGTGTAGGACACGGGTGTATTATACTGAAAAGACTAAAGAAAAAATTGTATAAAATAATTTTTAATTTTGGTGGCATAGATTTTTGTAATGTTGTTCATCTATTCTAAATTAACTCGCAACGTCATCCGTTTATCATTGAAACATCAAAATGATTACATACAACGAATTCTGTGCGGTACTTTTATAAAATAACATACAACGTAAATCGACATATCGTAATTATCGTATCATCGTGGACAGAGGTTAACTACCATTTCTGCAAGCCATTGTCACACATTTCTCTAGCTACATTTCTTTGCGTTTTATGTAATTTACTACGTGCTAAAGTTCGTCCGCACACAACGGCGGTACCTATTCAATCGTCTTATTCGAAGCTATAAAACAATATATTATAACATCGAGTTCGACCATCACCGCGATATGATATTATAAATTTTGATTTGTGTGTTTCGAGTTTCTTTCGGTTCGTCTGGCACGCGCAGCGAATATTTATACTTCGCTATGTATGCGAATGTGTTGCCAACGAGTAAAGGTACGCCAAAATTGTAGATAAAAACCGTGTTGCTGCAGTATCTTCGGTAGGTAGGTACCTACCAACACAAATATAATATTATTTGTCATAACACTTAGGGTGAGAGCGTGAGACTTGAATACTGCGTTGTTTTGATTTTTAGCCGTGGTTCGCATATACATTGTAAAAAAGTGTTTGAATGTAGTACGTGTCGTTGTCATCGTG